AACCTGTGCTATCCTGACCTGGTAGCAGTTGTTGAACACCAGGATAAAATGTTCTTTATCATGTTGCATCAGTAAAAGGAGTGAATGACCGAATGTGCAACAAGCATCCCAAAATGCATAAACACAAGACACATTTCCAAATATCACAAAACCCGCTTATTAAACCCTTACCAGGCAATTGAATTCACAAAAAAACTAGGCACCCACCAGTCAAAAGATCAAAGTTGAAAGCACAACTAGGTCATATAATTGAAAGGTGCAAGCTTTCAAACAGGCAACTGACCACACACACAGCACATGATGAATAATCGTCAGAATAATTAGAGATGGATTGATCAAACCCATTTACTGGTAAAATTTCAAGATCGGTTTCCCCCACTGACAAGGTCAAATATGGATGGCCGGAAAACCATATTCCAAAATCTCATTGCAAAGCAGCTGATATGAAAAGTGATTCACCTAATTAAACAAATGACGACCCAGAAACAGATATCAAATATTAAGGACACAGAAGATAAAAAAACCGATAAGAAAGTAAGAATCTTTGGGGTTGTTAGGAAAGGTATAAGGGCTTCATACATACCCTTGCCTTTATATTTTCAGCTCCGTGGATTAAACATAACAAGCACAGAAAGAACAAAACAAAGCTGAAAACCCATAAGCCAAATATGAAGTCTCTCAAATCCAGTCTTATCAGCAACCGATCGATTGAAACCACAAAGTAAAGGAATAAATCTAAAAACCATACATACCCAGATGAAGAAACCGATCTATGTAAAGAATATGGAGCAGAAAACCAAAGAAGCAGCCCGGAGATTCCGGGTAGATGATGAAAAGACCTCTCTTTTCTTTATTTCTCTGGAGAAAAATAAATAGGTGAGAAAACAAAACAAAACAAAACCCACTGAGAGCAATGGGGTTGAGAGAAAGGGAGAGGCTTTGGCCCTTTGGGTGGATGAAATGAAATGTAGAAAGAGAAAAGGAGAAGGAAAGAGAGATTAAAGAGGACGGTAATCTTTAATTTACGAAATAACCCAAAGAGAGAGATAGAGAGAGAGAGAACCAAGGAGAGTAATGGTCATACAGAGCAGTTTCCTAACAAAGTAATGAATAAACATAAAAATTTTAAATTTTAAATTTCAAAATAAAATAAAATAAAAACGAACAACATCACCTACTAGGTGTTGTGTTGCGGGGAGGGTTTCTAAAGGTGCGATATGTTGGAGACTTGGAGTTGGGGGGCCGCTTACCAAATGGCTCACGCAGGTTGTCCTGATTTCTTTCTTTTTTGGTGTTGAACTTTGAAAGCTTATAACTTTGGGTTTTTAGTTTTGGTTTTAGTTTGAGTTATACTCTCTCTCTTTCTCTCTCTCTCTCTCTCTCTCTAAAACCCAACAAATAAAAAGACCAATTGGCGTCCCATTTGCAGCCCCACAACTCGCTCTTTCACGCCAAGCACCTGTTGCCCTCTCATATCAATATTATCACACACCCTCTCACGCCTCACCATCACACTTTCACATGCCCTGCTCTGCTGCTGGCAGCTGCTGCTTCTCCCTTTTCCCTTTGCATTTTTCTTGAGGAGCCCTTTCTGACTTTGTGAGAGGGCATTGAGCTGTGTTTGAGAGTTGCCCCACACAAAATTTTAGTTTTTTTTTTCTCCTTAATTTAAAAAAAAAATACTTTCACGAAGAAAAAAAATAGTGAATTCGTATGAGCACACGTGGCATGCTATGATATCGTGGGTCCCAACTTCTCTGGATGACTTTGGATTATGCTCACCTTCCTAAGGATCTGGCTTGGTGTGCTTTTATGTAGGACTAAAAAAATTTGACCAACTATTCTCGGCACTCTGTTTCCCATTTACATGGTTGGAAGATTTTTTTTATAAAAAAAACCCCAAAATCAATTATCTTTTGGGTAAGAAGCAATAATAGTGGGATCCCAAAACAGAATTTTACCCATATGGGTCATTTTAATTATTCTGTCGGTACAATTTTAGTGCCAAATGGGTATGGTTGTTCTTGATGCCTCGATCATTTTGGAGACAGCAAGAGCTTTAAATTAACATTAAAAAAATTTCCTTTTTGCCTTTAAGAGACAATAGGAGGAGGTGAGAAGATGAGTCTTTTGTGTGTGTTAACTTTGGTTAAAAAGAGGTGTGAATGGAAGAAAGACCTTCAAATGTGTGTATGCGTCCCTATTAACAAGTATCCAAGCAGGTTCTCTTCTTCGACTTGTTTTTGTAAATCGCCTTGCCTACCGTTCATATCTCAATCGTGGGCCTCTTTATTTTACGTTTGTTTTGGTCTCATTTGTGCTTTTGTTTTTCTATTCTCTCTTACCTTTCAAAGCTGCTTGCTTTTTTATCTTGGTATAGTTTTCCTTTATTTTATTTTATTTTATTGTGTGTGTGTGTGTGTGTTTTAATTTGAGGCCACGAAAATAAGCGCAATGGCTCTTTTGAAAACCATTATTATTATTAATATTAATTAATACATATCTTATTTACTAATGAGATAAGCTTGACGATTCCTCCACCAAAGAGAACATTAGAAATTTTGGTGCTTTTTAGACGATGGAGAAAATTTGACAGGCTAAAACTCTAGCTACGGAACACGCCAAGGGGACTAAGATTAAGCCGAGCCCAGAAGAATATATATATATATAATTTTTGAATAGTCTATGATAAAAATTAGGTTCAATTATGCATCAAAAATTCAAGACAAGGCATAATGGGTTTTGTGCAATTTGACACTTGCAATTAAACAAAATTACTTGAGGCTAGTAGTGGGGTTATGTGGTGAGATATAGACAGACGGCCAGTTGAATTGGGAAGGGTTGTGGTGGTGGTTGGCTGAGAATGGGACCTAATCTCTGCAATTACACCCTTAAATCTTTTCTTTTTTTCCTGAAAGGTGGGTGGTGTAGTTATTGAATCAAAATGAATTCTCTAAGTCCAAGGGAACAAAACCCATGACCCTTATGACTCAATGATAACGCACATGGGAGAAGTTTGGGTCTCAGTTTTGTATATGGACACATGAAGAGGCAAAGTAGCTTTGAGGGAGCAAGATTGCCTCAAAGCAAGGCAATGAATTCTCATAGAAATAAATTTCTCATGACAAGATGATGAAAATTGCTCCAAATTACCACATAAATGGGCACCGCACAGATGCACATGGTAAACTAATGGCATGAACAAAACAAAGGGCTTGGAGAATCCTGGTTTCAACGTCTATCTCACTTTATTTGTTTTTCTCTCTTTTTGTGTCATTTATCCGAGAAGGAGAGAGATAAAGAGAGACAATAAAACGGAGATGTTGCTATAGAGGGATGTCAGTGCTGGGGGTAGATGCGAAAATGGACACATCTAGAAATTAGAGGTGCATCAACATCGACGCAGGTCCACTCGCAAATTTACAGGGTCAGAAGAAGCAATCACCAATTTTGACTAGTGAGGTTAAATTATCATATACATGGCATCCTGCAATTTGAATAAATTGCAAATTAATTCGTCGTACACATTTGTCAGCTTTTAGCTTGAACAACTTCTAAAGTTGATCAGAAACGATAGTGGAATTAGCAATCGTGTTCAATTTCTTAAATCGCAATCAATGCAGACCAAACAACCCCCAGTTTTTGGATCTCACAGTATAAAGTAGACCTATGTTTTCATTAAATTTTACATTAAAATTTAATTTGATCATTAAGAAAAAAAATTAACCAAATTAGTCACCGCATTTTCTTAACTTTATAATTTATAAATATTCCATTTTCTACAGTTAAAGGCAGTTTTTATTTTTATATTTTTTAGGAAGCACCTTCAGTTTTCTTCCTTTATGCTATTAGGATTTAACAAATTTGGAGAAATCTTTAGTTGAAATTGAAATTGTGTATGAGAAAAATAAAAAGCCAAACCAAATGAAAATGAAATCAATAACTTACCAATATATTTTGGTTGGTGTTATGTCACCTTGATAATGTCTCATTTCTATCCAAAGTCACAATATGGTTCTCACTCAATCAATTCAGGCTTCAATATAGCATCCAATTCGTGACCTTATACCTCACAATTCCGATTTCAACCCAAGATTTCTCCCAATTTGTTAAACCCTAATAATACAAATATACCCTAACTTGTTGAGTTAAAGGAGGAAAATTGAATGCATTTCATAAAAAATAAAAATAAAAACTGCACTTAACAAAATGTCTATAAATTGTGAAGTTATGGAAACACAATAATTAATTTGGCTAAATTTTTTTCTCAATCACAAAATTTCTAAACTAGAGGGGATACATATATAGATAGCTACATTTTGGCTTAACCAAAAGGTCAACACTGAATAGTGTCTAGATCATGAGCGCATGTGTTAGTTCTAGAAGAGACAGACCCGTTCAAAAAAAGCAAACACATTTAGACCCCCATGATTTCACATATCATAGCTACCAAGAATTCGGCAAAAAAGGAGAGTGCAGTAAAAAATATTGAAAGGAAAGGACAAACTAAAACGCTACATAGGCTCAATTTTATGCGACTTTCAATAAGCAGGCCTCAATTTGTTTGACTTTGGAGCACCATTTGTTCTGGGGAGACGAACAGTGTTCCCAAGATTATATTTTCGTTGCAGACCCCAATAAACAGGTGCTGTTAACAGGAGAGCAAAGCCCAGAGCAAAGCCTTGGCCGAGGGTGAACACAGAAAGAAACATGTACATGGCAACAAAACCTAACAGCTAGGCACAAAAGGCTGAAACCAGGGAACCTTAAATAGGCAACAAAATTTTAGAAACCCAAGCATGTTGGAGAAGAGAAGATGAAGTTAGGGGGCAATTTGTACAAGCATACTTGCGGCCCTTGCCTCTGAAAATGTAGTTGTTTAAACTGTATTTTAGACTACCTGAGCATCTGAAAATGCGACATTGTAAGTATTATGCAAACGAACTTACTAACAAAAACTAGAATCCAGATCAACTAAACCATAGACAACTTCCCACAACTATGCATCAAGAGATTGCATAGTAAAAGGACAATATATCAAATGAATGTCATCATTATGTCAAAATTACTCAATCTTTGTACTGAAAGAGAATCAAATAAATAAAAACCAGTAGTTTAGAGTGCAAAGCAGGCCTTGCGAAGGGAAGGCGCTAGACGATGGAAAAATCTAATTTTCCCGTAAGTTCAAAGTATCCACAGGAGGGTACAAGGCAGCAGGTTTGAAACCCAGTGAAGCAGCTGATACTAATAGTAATAGCTTCGATATTGAATATACCATCATCAGACATATTTTAGTCTTTCTTGTTCCAGTGAAGCCCTTGCCTCTTTTTGGGCAAAGAGCAAATCTGCACCCCCAAACCAAAGCAAAATGAATATTTCCTTGCATTGACTGAAAATAAAATACAGAAAAGCAAATGTAACAATTACCTATACAGGCGTTGACATGCCATTCATCCTTCTCAACTTCACAACCAACAGCATGTTTCATCATTTAATGTTTCGTTAAGGGTTTTCAGTACTTAGACCCTTCTCATCCTTTGTACCGTATCTAAACACAGTATCAGGAAAATTGTTTCAAGTGACAATTTAGCTCCTCAGAATAGTTGCTTCAGCTGATAATTTAGCCTTAAAATTAAGGTAAACATCCACCACTATGAGAGTCAGTCTTTAAGACTCTGTTTAATAAGGACGATCCAATTGCTTTAACATCTAAATTAGATGATCAATCATTGAGATCATCCAACTCTATGAAATCACCCTCTACAATGGAAAGTAAATGCTCAGTTGCCAAATCATCAAGAAATATTGGATTACTACCACCAAGCACAGATGACGGGACCTGCACACCAGCCACGAGATACAACAGAAAGCAATCTAAATAATTTAGGGGAAATAAGACTGAAATTAAAAACAGGAGAAGATTAAGCATGTAATATTGCAGGATATCTAACATGTATATACTAGTATTACTCCAGTGCTAGAATCTCAAAAGCCACCTTGTCTTGCCAACGTCAGACACTGACTAATACAATATTTTTGGGACATGGAGTTTATAAATAACTGGACAATTTATAAGAATTTAAAAAATGACAGTTTTGAGATTGTTAAGACTCCAACCATAGGTTGATGCTTTTCATCTGTTTGGAATCATGTGGATATTTCAGACGGCAAACCTTCAATGATAAAACAAGCATCAGAAAAATGTCTGACGCTAAGAAAATTAATCACTCAACTTCAACTTTGGACAAGTTATACATATCAAGATATGAATTTCACAACTTTTTTTCAAGCCATTTATTGACACCACCTATAATATAGCAAGCACCAATGATGAAATTTATTGAACATCTATTAGTCCAAGCATGTAAACGGATATGACTCTGATGTTGTTGAAGGATAGTTTATCAAGCATGTAAATGGTGATAGTAGCCAAATTTAAAGTAATAACAAGAGAGTTTGCTTAGAATAGATTACCTGTCCATTAGGCTGAAGTCTTGATATAGAAACTGGCCCATTCTTGACTCGGTCATTTATCTCACAGTCCAGTCTCATTGGAAAACTTAACATCTCATTCTTCCTATGCGCAGAATTGTCACCATGTACTTCAGTTTCAACAATATTGGGAGTATGAAATCCATCATGCTGAATTCCAATGTGACGAACTGTGCAAGCACTTTCTTCAGCACAAGAACTTACCCAATTATATGATAGTCTATTTCCACGACGAGATCTGACAAATACTCGGCACAGGACAAAAGAAGCCTGCACATGGACAGACATAGGACACGTTACTCATGTGCACACACGCCATTATTTAGCACTGAAATAAATTGTATAGCATAAGGCACAATGCTTAATAACAATAGAGCTCCGCTAGACCATGTGGTTGAACATCATGAAGAATATATTTGCAACAGAGAGTTTCAATACCTACACTTCTAATTGTGTCTCAACAATGCAAACAAATTCTTCACCGTTAAACAGCCTCTTGGTTTCTAATGAGGCAATTTCGATAACTAATCTACTAAGCAAAGAAACCTAAAATTCTTCACAACTCATCAGACATGGAAAATTAGTCGTTCAAATCAAAAATTCAGCAATGAAATAAATAAATAAAATGAAGGTGACATTTTCTTAATTAATATTCAGCATATATATGATATAAATCAATAACCAAATTAACCAACACGAAAGCAAATATTAATAATTTCGATAAAAATCTCGAATGCCAATAAGTCAATGCTCATTGATCCAGATTAAATTTGAGGAAAAAAAAACGATAATTATAGGGAAAAAAAAGTACCTTTACATGATCGACCTGAGCATACTGATAGAGAACCCAATCAGTCCGTACAGCAGTGTTGGGCGAATTCCCCAAATAAAATACAAAGCTCGTCCTCCTCCCCAACACCGCCTTCCCTCCACGGCCCACCACGTCCCTATCCCTCCCTTTCCTCCTCCAATACCCGCTCTTCGCTCTCCTCTCCTTCAAAACCCTAACCGTGTAGCAAAACCAGTGCCTCTTCCTCCCCGCGTGACCGTACGCATAGCAAGCGCTGTCAGGTAAGTCAAATGGATCGTGGTCGTACAAGTCGAGCTCTCTGATCAAATCGTAGCCGCCGGATTGGGCCGGGTCGGCGTCGTTCTTGTTCGAGAGGTAGCAGCAGAGGAGCTGCTCTTCGGAGGGGTAGAATCGGCAACCGGGAGGGAGCGAACGCAACGACGTCGCTTTAGGATCTCCCATGCGTAAATGGAGATCGTCAGCTTGTTTAGGTTTTTTCGGTTTTTTTCCGGTTCAGGCTGTGAGGTTTATGAATCTGGGACTGTGAAGGGGTTTATGAAATTGGGCTGTGAGGGGTTTATGAAGGCGAGGAGAGAGCGCAAGTAGCGTACCCTCGAAGCTTTCTCGTTACTCTTCGCCAGTGTGGTGATCGCCTACAACTCCGGTGTACGTGCTCCCGCCTATTTCAACCGTCAGATGGCGCCGCATTTTCATTGAGGATTACGTGTACGTTGAAAATGAAACGACTTGTCGTAAGCCAGGGTAAGTCGACATTTCGTTTGTGTTCGGATCTTGGATTCGATGTCATAAATTACATGCCTAAAAAAGAAACGAAAAAACATTGAAAATTCCAAATACGAAGTTTAATTATTGGGTTGGGTCGGACTCGTACGAGGTGACATAATTTGCACGTCGGCCACGTGTTGGTCAAAATCCAGCAAGGGTAGGAAAGAGCAAGTATTTTGGGAGGCTGAAAAGAAAAGTGATTCTTGGCTTTCTTATAAAGTCAGTCAACTTGCCACTTGTTTTCGAAGGAAGGAAGTATTAAAATATTTAATTTATTAATATAATTTTCTACACTTCCTGATATATAATTCAAAATAAAATACAGCAGTTTGTGGGTGTTCGCTTCCTAATATATGTGGGTGTATTTACGAATGTTAGGAATTAAGATGGTTGACAATTTTCGGCACGACTCAATACATGACTTGAAATTCGCATGAAAAATTAGCGGGTCAATCCACATGAAAAATTAGAGTGTCAAACCGCACGATAAAATTTTAGGATCATTTTCGAGTCAATTCATCATGACTCATTAAATAAATGAGTGAATTTTGGGTTAATCCGCTAAAATATCTATGTAACCCGTTTAACAAAATAGGTCAAAGCGGGTCAACCTACCAACCTGCTAAAATACGAATGTAACCCTCTAACCCACTAATTCATTTCTTTTTTTATTTTTATTTTTCTTTTTCTTTTATGTATTTTAGTTGCTACCACTTAGTGTGTCAACCCAATACACGACTCAAAACTAGCACGGACAATTAGAGGATCAACCCAACTAGACACGTTTATTAAACAGATCGAATTTGAATTGAACATTCTCAACACATATAATCCTTACACAACACGACTCATTATCAACCCTATAATTAATATACAAATTTATAAATAAACCCAATTTTAGACATGTATTTATAAAAAAACTCAAACACTATTTAAACATAGAAACACACCCAAAATTAACCGCAAAATCAACAATTGTATATTTTTTGGGTGTGTTTATAAATAAGTTTTGAGTGTGTGTAATGATGGGTTTTAGGTGTGTTTATAAAGTGTTTTGGGTATTGGATTTTTTTTATAATTTCAGCCACCATTTTGAGTGTTTTAGTGAAACTCCCTTTGTGCGTATAAATTGGATTAAGTTGTTATGGGCTGACATCTAGATTTTTAATTTTTATGGTTGGGCTGGAGTCTAGACAATGGGCCAGCAGGGCTTTCATAAAACTTCGTCTCCACAGTGATGTGGAAATTGAAGGTTAAAGGCTTGCCTGAAGTATGTTACCTCAATTAAAATGAATAATGAGCACATATGTTAGTTACCTCAATTTAAATCTTGTCGTCGTCATATCAAAACACCACATGCGAGGCAGTGATCCTTTTGTCAATATTTCTAGTTGTCTTCTCCCAATGGAGATAAGCTTCTTGTGGAATATTATCTGATTTTAAGGGTCCAGCTCTGATATAGATTGGCGCAAGGAAACAAAAACCATTGATATACTGGAATGTTAGCCTTTTCACATGCGTTTTCGCACATGCGAGAGGTTTTTTTTAATTTAAATTTTTATTTAACATCGATATTGTCCCCAACTTAACTACCTGTTTAGCAGATGTGAGGTTTTATACAAAAGGTATCGGTGTTATTAAGAGTGGAACTATTTATTATATGAGACTTTCTATTTTGTTAAGTTTCCGATGTAGGACTCGTGTATTCTTCAACACTCCTCCTCACGTGAGACCACTTTTTAGTGGGCCACAAGTGCAATAAATTCCACATCAGTCACTTTTTTTTATTTATTTTTAATTTTTAATTTGGGGTTTGTTTGATTTTGATTCAATTTGGGGTTTTTGTTTGATTTGGGTTTAATCATGCCCAGTCAGCCGACCCGCTCTGATACCATGTTAAGATTTCAAAGGGACGGACAATTGGCCCACCACTAGCAACATCGATATTATCCTCAACTTAACTACCTGTTTAGCAGGTGTGAGGTTTTATACAAAAGGCCTCGATGTTATTAGGAGTGGAACCATTTATTATATGAGACTTTCTATTTTGTTAAGTTTCCGATGTGGGACTCGTGTATTCTTCAACGATAGTTGTGTTCCATAAAAATAGAATCCATTATCTTATTTTTGTTTTATTTTTTATTTTTTTTAATATGAAAAAGTGTGAATTTACTATATTATCCTCATTTAATTAATAATTTCAATTTCTAATAGTTGCATTAACCAAAGGCATTTTCTGGTATGTTGAATGTTTCATCATTCTGGTATTTTGAATGTTTCATCATTATCTCCCTTTTGATTTTTATATATAGATTATACAGTATATCTCGTTAGTCACAAGAGTGTTTCAAATAGCGGATTCTTTGCAAGTTATATGCCCGTCACATAAGCTATATTGTCGTCGCTATATGACTGTCACATAAGCTATTCGCCGTCGTGAGTGTGCTCACGCAGTTCACGAAACAATATTTTAAAAAATGAACAAAAGATTGACTGAAACAACATCGATAAATGTTGCTTCTCAAAGAAAAAGAAAAACCTAAACCTCAAATTTACCAAAAAATTGACATCATGAAATTGAAGGCTATACTTTGAGGTTTTGAGTCGATAGGTGTTGCTTCTCCTCTACGCAAGATTTTCATACAACAATTTGAAACTAATAATGGGTTACAGAGGCAGCTTCCATGAACTCATGGTCACATTCAATAGCACCCATTGCATCAGGTACAAGACAAACCTCCAAGTCTATGCTTCCTCTTTCGCCTCCCGGGTAAGATGACACTTTGCCGCTAAACTTATTTGCATATCCACTTCGAAGGGCCAATGCTTTTCCCATTCCAAATTCGTTTCCGTACATGTTGAACCATGGGGAGCTTCCCATCATCACACTGTGCGGATCGAAAAACTGGCCTATTTGGTACACCATTCGAGACTGCAACCAAGCATCAATGAACTCTCGTATCGACTTGTCATCGAGGTTAACGACAGCCTCATGCAACTTCCACGCTGCCCATCCAAGCCCATGTTCAATCAATTCACCTGCGGTCACAACTTCTGATTTGATTGGGTGAATTGAGTTCCCAAAGTAATCTCCAGACAATGGTGGGTTTAATCTTGCTCTGTTATTCGCAGCCAACCTGTAATGTATGTGTTAAATATCAATATTAACAAATATTGATGGAAATTCGAAGTGAAATGTATTATAATTTGGAGAATAAGATCATACCTGCAGCTGGTTGACTGGCTCGGAGGTAGACGCCGCACTCGGGTAATGCAGCGCCAGAGAAGGGCAGACAAGGACTGAAAGGAAGAGATTTTGGTTGTGTTAGCCTCTACATTGGCCTTTGCTTTGAGTTTGGCTAAGGCTTCTGAGGAGAAGTGAAACATTCTCTCTCTGAGTTTGGGAGCTTCAAATCTGCCAATGAACTCATCTGGGTGCGTGTAAGGGAGGCTGATGATTGGATCGTGACCTTCTGGAAACCACCGCTTGAGGACCGGCGGTCTTGAGATATTCAGTATGATATTATTGTTTTGACTGCCATGTGTTTGTGTTTGTGCCTGAAAGATTTCAGACCAAGTGTTGAAGAAATGCCAGTAAGAGGTACCATCAGCAAGGCAGTGGTTCATGGAAAGCCCTATGAAGATGCCATCCACCAGCTCCGTGACCTGAGCTGTTAGCTAAGACATGGTGTGCCCGTCATGGTTGACTGCTCTGTCATGGTCAAAAAACGACTGAACAACCAAAGGCACATCAGTTGGTGAAAGGATGTCAGAGATGGACATGTCTAGAGTTGCATGGATGAATTTAGCTCCAGGGCTGTTGTTGCAATCTATATAAACCAAATAGAGAGGTGGGTTTTCTTCTTTCTTTGTTGCAAGGCGACCTGCAAGTGGGTAGAAATGAACAAGGGCCAGGGAGAGAGAGTGCTTGAGCTTTTCCAGCAAAGCATTAATGAAATCTGCCTTCTTGTGATCATTCATGGCTTCTGGGGGCTTGGCAAAAAGAAGACCTTTTTGGATATAGTGGGCAGAGAGCATGGGAAGATCGGTGGGTGCCAAGTATAAGGGCTGCTTTGATTCATCTGAAGCATGCTGTGGCTGGACAAAGCACTCTGAGATGTGTTTTACACTCTGGGAACTCATTGTCTGATTTGCCTGAGTGGATTTTCTTTGTATTTCCTCTTTGCTTAGCAGCTGCTCTGGGTTTATATGCAGGTTCTCTATCCAGAGTTTATGATTGTGTAGTTTCTATGTTAATTTGTCATCGATGACGGCTCAGTCAAGGGTTAAATGAAAAGTCCATCACGCAAGGTAGGTTAACATAGCGTTTTAAGCTTGTTCTCATGCCAAGGCAACCACATGCTTGCCACTTTGGCTTTTGCCTCTATATTATTATTATGTGGATAATTAGAAGGGAGCTTTAGTAGTATACTCAAAATAGGGGCTGAAATTATAAATAAATAAATAAATAAATAAAACCCCACATAGAATGCACTTTAGAAATATACCCAAAAATCATTTACTACATACGAAATAAATGTTGAAGTTCCTATAAATTACATAACTGCCATTGATTAACTTAAAACAAGTCCAACACAAAACACTCAAAAAAACAAAAACCCAAAACAAGCCCAGCAAACCCGAAGTACATTGTTAATATCATATCATAAATTACATTGTTAATACCATGTCATAAAAGTACATTGTTAATATCATTTCATACAAAAAACTCAAATAAAAACCTAAAAAACCCCAGCAAGACATCTGATATCCTTTGTAGAAACCACCTCCAATTGTCCACAATTTCACTAGAAACAATCGCAAAGGCAAAAGGAAATATCTCTACAAGAAAGAAAAAAAAGTACATTGTTAATACTATGTCATAGAACTATCTTCCAGGCAAAAGTCACTTTATGCATATCATAAACTTCAAGTGCATAGCTATATATAGAGTAAAATATAGAGCATGCTTTGTTACTCAAAATCTGTTAATACTATGTCATAGAAGTATACTGTTAATACTATGTCATAGAAATCAACTCAGCTGCAGGGTACACTTATTGGAAGTTAACAACTACATCATTTCATTTGCATAATAGATAACATGAAGAATCCAAACAATACCAAACGTCAAACCCAAGTCAACACTAAACAATGTTTTGCGCATTAAAATTATAAAGAACCTAGATGACTGAGAATCTAAATCTAAGAACAGTAATTATCAAATTTCTCTTCTTTTGTTCAATTTGTATTAGAAAAGAAAATGAAGATGTAGTGGCAAGATGCCACACCAACAATACAGATATGTAGTTTAAGTTCTTGTATGCAAAATCATTGTTAGCTAACTCCTAGTGGAAAACTGGAAGGAAACAAGCATACACACTCTGCCTTTTTCCTTAATAATATTCAAGCCACTAACCAATTCACATCATCATCAATTTGGAGAAATTCAACAGAAGTAATTCCTTTTGCTAATCCTTCAACTTTACAAGTAAATCTATATCCATTTTATAATTCCATTTTGATGCAATTGTTTCCTAACTCTAATCCCACTTCTTCCAGTGAAAAGACAACATAATGAGAGTAAGTTTTTAATATTGTATTGCTATGTTCTATCCAATTTGTTTCCTTTTTTTATTAACGCTGCAATTTCTTATTTATGTACTGAAGGAAAAAAATATATGAAATATATATGACACAGAAGGGCTACAATGAGATGAAACAAATCCTATGGCCAGACAAACAAGTGGTCTAACATGTTGGATAAAACAAATCCTATGGCCATACAAACAAGTGGTCTAACATGTTGCCAATAGCCTACGCATAATTAGAGAAAAAATTGCAATTGTTACCCAGCTCAGGTACGCCAATGCAACTGCCATCTGGTATTTTTGGCATTCCTCTCCAAAATTGCAGTGGCTCAAGTCACTAAAGTACAACACAATTATGCCAGATGAGGCAGAAGTTGCTGCAAAAGACAATGTTGATGTAAGCTGTTAGAAAAGGAAAAGAGCTATTAAATGGCAAGCACTATATGGACACACAGGATTTTCATCCAAGTGTTGAGGCCCAAAAATTCAGGATTTGGCCCAAATAAATTATCGGCCTAATGCAATGCCTTATTAAGAAAAGATCAGATTTGGAGCATGCGAAAGTTCGTCATTCATGCTCGCACAAGTCATGACCCATATGCCATGCCAAATAAATATGCAATATGTCATGCTAAAAGTTGAAATAAGCACTGGCTTTATGAGCCCAAGCTAATTATCCCATCATGCGTCATATCCTTCTTCAAAGCGACAAAATTCAAGCACACCAAGCGACATGCAATGCCAAGCGGAAAATCATTATTATTACACCTCGCCACGTTCTAAGCTTAAGTGGGCCCAAGCCACGTAAATTCCCAGGGCTTGCTTGAGTGGGTTGTGGTATGGATGGTAACGAGCTTTCATGAAGCTCATTGGTGGCCGAGAAATGGAAGTTTTGGGCTGCTTGGGAGCCCCAAAACTCAAGCTCATTTCTTGAGCCCAAATATGTGGGTAAACATAAAAGATAGAAGAATTAGCCCACTACTCTAGAAAAATTGGCTCATTACCTTAATAAAATAGCCTATAACTTTAGGAAATTAGCCAATTCTCTTAATGGGCTAACCCATCACCTTAGGAAGGCCCAAATAGCCCAAGTGGCTTAGAAAATATCCAAAAAATCTCCAACACATGGTTTGAGATGAAACCACGATAGAAAACCAGGAGGTATTTGTACGCTCAGGCTGCTGGGAGACTTCAACACATGACCAAAGACAAACCCAACGCAAGCCATCAGAAAAACCAAAGGGAATTCATACGTGTATGAGGAATACCCATTAGGCAAAATCTTTATCCATTCTTCTTTCCTCTGCAAGCTTTAATAGGGAAACCAAGAAGAAAAGCAGGTGGCGCCTCATCCCCTTAGGAATGTCCAGCCTCACAAAAAACCTTGGAACCCCAAAGAGCTTGTGACCTATCCGCTTTGGTTAAAGAAATTTCACCAAAAAGGAGTGAATGGAAAGAAGCAAAGAAAAAGTGGGAATGGAGGATTGATAGAATTAGGGTTCTAAGTGCCTATAACATGGAGCTTCCTCTACCCAGCAAAAATTATCATCCAGAGTGCGACCAAACTTTGTCAAGCAACTGGAAATTCACTCAAACCACATCTAGAGAGCAAGCTTTCTTTCTTACTTCCAAAACTCTGCAATTTCGTGCCCTATTCCTCCATCTCCTCTTTTTTTCTCTTCTGTTAAAAAGTTCCGGAGCTTGACAAATTTTTCGTCAAGCTGCTGGAAACTACTCAACACACCCATCATACCCCCATCTCTCTCCATCTTCAACAAACCCTCTTAGAATCCATTCCCCATTCTTTTAAAACCCCTGTTTTTCATAAGAACTCACAGCTCTCTCTCTGTTTATGCTAAACTCATGATAGTTTTGCTCCCATGCCACAAACTTCTCATGCCAAGCTAAGAATCTACCTGTAAGCAGCCATTATTTTTGTTGGTAAAGGTGACCAGAGTGTTTCCTAAAGCTTCACTACCATTTCGAAGCATTCTTGGGGCCTGATTTTTGAACTCAGGCACAAGGGGTAATTTCACATGTTTCTCTTTTCGGCAGCTCAAGCTCATTCGTCAAGTTGCTGGAATAAAAAGACTCCTACACTAAGGAAGTCAAGGATTTGTAGACCCTGACCCAGTCTCTAATTACAAAGAGGCTAAACAATATAGGGTTGTGGAGGACCTTCTTTTTCACCAAAGAATATGCATCTAGCAATGCCAACACTAAACTCCAAATGACTTGCAGACCCATTGAAGCAATCAGGTAGCTGCAAAATGAGCATTGCCTTAAACAAATATCACAATTTTTTTAAGGACAAGAAATGACATGTGATGCATCAAGAGATGCTGAAATCTGCCCCATAAGCCTATAGAATCAGGTTACACAAAATTGAACTTAGATAGAAATTTGCTCACAAACATTAGATAGTATACACAGGTAAAGCCAAACAAGTCAACAACAGTGAGAAAAACAAGCATAATGAATTCTAATTCACTAATTCCAATTATTATATCATTCTAAAATAGAAAAAGCAAAACATCAATGATTCATATTGACTAATTAAGTATTTTACGCCAAGAACTCATCCTAAAATTGAATCACCATATCACCATTGCCAAAACCTCAATTCAATCATACAATAAGCAAACACAAAAATTAACAACAACAAAAAATACGATCAATTAAAATTTTCACAATAACCTTCAAGAGTTTTTGCACATGCAAGGCTATGATTAGTTCTTTAGAGAAATTCTCTCATGGCGACGTCTCCGTACTGAGATCAACAAATGTTATCCAACGATCATCTCAAGTACAATATATGCTTTCTTTGCATGGCTCATTCCTCCATAAGAGTTCTTAGCTCCATCTTCATCCGAGGTTGTTATGGTTGACGTCACTCAGATTCAATGGCGTTGGTGAAGGAACTAGAGGCTTGTCGTCTGCCGACGGAGATTGAGACGGAGATGATTGCAATGGAGCTGGAGGTGAAGAAGGATGTGGTGCATTAACTGGAGTGTCTGACAGAGATGGAGGAAGGGCAATTGGGGATGGAGTTTTGGGCGAAGGTGAATCGGTGGCAAGTTGCAGCGATGGAGTTGACTAGAGCGATGGAGTTGAGAGGAGACGACGAAAATACAATGGAGAATTGGACTAGGAGAAAAGCCAGAAGCAGAGCTCGATGAACCTCGCCATTGTTGAAGAAGAAAAAGAAAGTTCGAGATTCTGGTTGATGAAGATTAAGTTGATTAATTGACAAAGCCAAAGGGCAAAACAGTAATCAAACATTGTTGTTGGATTTAAGAAATCGACAGTTGTCAACTTTTGAGTTTATTTTGGGTGTGTTTATATACATTGAATGATATAGGGTTTCTTTATAGAATTATGTCTAGGAATGAGTATTTAACTAATTTTCTATAATTATGAAGAAAAAAAATGTGACATAATCATCCATTGTACCTAGTTGCTCATAACAATACTTTTATGTTTAAAATAGCAGTAAGAGCATCTCCAAGGAGATGTCAAATACCAAATATCAAATTTAAATTTGATAATTTATGTGGCAATTTGACATTTACACAGTTTTGCACTCCACTCGATATATTAAATAAATAATTATTGTAGCAGTCAAATCATTCAAAATAATAAAATAATAAAATAATAATAATAATAATAATAATAATAATAATA